TTAAATTATTGTTTATTTAAAATACAAAAATAATCAACAAACAACAGGGCTACTGAGAGCCAGTACGGACACTCAAGTGTAAGTTTTATAGATTTTTTAATCTAAATAATTTGCGCTTGATTATCCGCGCTGACTCTTGTTAGCCTCGTTATTTGTTAATTCTTTTGTATTTTAAAGACTGAAAGTCTGTTTTAATTATTATTATTTATTGCTCATTTATTTAATATGATTGCAATTAGGTTATTCCGCTGAATTTATCAGTATACGATAGGACATGGTTAGGCATTAGCTGCTACGTTCAGCAGAGAAAGCAACTTTGCAACTATTGTTTCAATATATGCAAAATTCTTCAATATATGATTAACTTATACATTTAAATCCATAAGGATCCAAGAGCAAAAACCAATTATATGGAAGAATTTTACAACATTTGTAAAACTATTTTCTCTGCTGAACACAGCCATTAACGTATTATATTCGTGGTGTTATTACACATTATGAAGTAATGTAGATAGGAATACACATGTGGGAGGGGGAGATAGGATACGCGAATAGGTACGAATAAATGAAAATACGGATAGATAGGACAAATATGGATAGGTAGGGATGAATACAATCATTTTAAATTAAAAAATTAAATTATTACAAATAAAATAACTTAAATAAATTTCGCGATCGGGTAATTAAATTTTATTTTAAAAATAAAAAAATAAGTATAATAAAAGATATTACATAATATATCTAACTAGTAAACTATGTGACATGTAAGTAGACACATATACATACTTGATAATTGGAAAAAAGAGATTGGAAAAAAGAGAAAAATTAAATAAAATTTTAAATTAATTTTAAATTTTATTTAATTATATCAGCATGCCGTTCCAATTATCAAGTATAAAAATACACTAAATTATACATAATTTTGAATTTCATTGAATTGTCAGCTCTCCTGAAATTAAATTTAATTTCTTATAAAATTCTATACTTGTACAAAGTGTGTAACGCGTTAATATTGTAATTAATTTTGATATAAATAAATGTATTCTTTTTGTTCGATACGCCCGAATCCGGACATCGTGACAGCATCTATGATGGGTAGTTCTTTACTATGTCTTTCTATAGATCTCTATCCATGGCATTGTGTGTGCAATCGCATATATATTACAGAATTAATTAGCCTTCCTAGCTGGTTAATGTATCGGCCCTTTAGTCTTTTTCTCTTGATCTTACTCTGGATCATAAGCCTTTCAAGGGCATTGTTTCCTCGTAGCATGATGTGGCCAAAATATTTTAACATGGTTTTATTGATGTTTATATTTAGCTTCTCCTTGAGGTTGATCTCTGTTAGGATTGATGCATTCATGCGCCTTTCCATCCATGACATCCTTAGCATTCTCCGCCAGTAGAACATCTCGAAAGCGTTGCGCCGCCTGTCTGCTATCTTTATGGTCCAACTTTCTGAGGTGTATGTGATTAGGGGGAAAACTAGAGATCGAATGAATCGTATCTTGATGTATCTTGATATTCCTCTATTTTTCCATATATGCATTAATTTGAGTATTGCAGTTTTAGCAAGTTTTAGCAATTTTACATCGAACTTCGCTTTCACAATCGCCGGTGTTAATTATTCGAACCCCGAGGTTAGGCTCCCAACGGTCTCAATCCCGTTAATCTTCTTGTCATGTTGATTTCCCTTTTCATTTGCTTTGTCGACGATCAATATTTTACTTTTTGACGCCATTTATTTTGATGCTATACATTTCACTTGTTTTCTCCATTCTCTTTAACAGTTCTGCCATTTCGTCTTCTGAAGCAGTCAGCAACGTTGTATCATATGCGGATCTCAGATTGAGTATCTTTCTTCCATTTATGGAGACACCTTTGTCCCATCTGTTTGTGGCACTATCTATTCTTCCTAGATATTGAATAAGATTGGCTATATGATGCATTCCTGTTTTATTCTTTTACTGATTTTGAAGGATCCATGCCCATTTTCATTAATGCAAATGTAGATTAACTTTAATCTCGGTTCAACTTACTCTTCATCTTTTTTTAGTTCTAAAGATTAGAAGAAGACAAAGAGAAAATTGAAAAGAGATTAAAATTAATCTACGTTGATGGAAATAGGCATCAGTTAGCTGGTTGTTTACTCTGACTTTATCTTCGTTGGATGTGTAGAGATTACAAATTAGATTTAAAAGATGTGGGGGAACCGAGCGTTATCATAATATCCCAGAGCTTCTCCCACTTAACACAATCGAAAGCCTTTTGGTAAAAAACAGAGATATTCGGATATATTGAATTCCCTCAATTTTTCAATAATTTGGCAAATGTTTAGGATTTGTTTCCTTGTGCTTCTGGCATAAGTCTGGCCTGTTTTTCCGATATTTGTGGATGAATGCATATTTTAAGCTTTTCATTAATGATCCATAATATCACCTTGCTTGCATGTGAGATTAGAGCGGCAGATCTGTAGTTGCTGCATTTGATTTTTGCTCCGTTCTTGTGTATTGGTATGAATACTGAATATATATTTTATCCAATCATATTCCTGAATACCATATGTTACTGTAAATAGCATGTAGCATATCAATTCCCAGTTGACTTGCAGCTTTTAATATTTCTGAGACAATGTCGTCCGGTCCGGATGCTTTTCCATTCTTGAGTGCCTTGACGGCAGCACTTATTTCTGTTTTAAGTATATCTTAAGTATAAATATATACATATATGTATGATAGTATTAGATATGTAATATAAAATTTATGTAATGTAAATTTATGTATAATTTATGTAAATCTATGTCCAAGTAAATGCCATCATGTTTACTTTTGTAATTTGCGCAATAATTACTAATAAATTATACATTTATTGGAATATTTATATCCGGATTGAATGTATCTATTCAATACATATAGCATTTATCTTGTAGTAAATCAAATTTATTGTTGCTTTATTGATGAAAATTACATGAAATCGACGAAACATATAACAAAATTGCTTATTGATTTAACAAGTTTGGTAAATATAATATTTAATTTAAAAATTTTTTTTAATTTGAATTTTATTTTAAATATCAAAAATTGTGAGTGACTTTTAATTAAAACTTTAATGTTTAAAATAATCATCAATTTTTCTTTGTATTTAGTAAATTTATTAAATAAGTCAAATTTATTAAATAAGTCAGTAAAGATTGAAGCTTTGACTGAGGCAATAATCGAGATTAAATATTAACTTCTTATTTGCTTTTTGACATATATATTTTTAACATTACAAAATCACAAGTAATATCTTAGTAATTGATTTATTATATGCAAAGACTTCATCATTGTCTCTCGCGTAGAGATAGCTGTGAATACGTAATTTGTATCGATGGAAAGTAAGTTTGTAATTATTTTTATTATGGAGAGTTATTCTTTGTCACTTTCTGTAAAGTCCATTTATAAAATCTTGTTATTTGGTGTCTTATTTGAGATTTTTGTATAGGAATTATTTCCGAATTTTCTCAGTTCCTGAAAGTAATAATTTTACCAATGATTCAATGACAATTGCTATATATTTTAAAGTCAAGTTGTGAAATTAACTTAATGATATATTTTAGGGTACAATTTTCGTCGTTTTCTTAATTTTATTAAATGTTCTCTCACTAGTAATAATGTTAATAATATAGACTATCTTAATGACAATAGAAATTTAGTATTGCTTAATATGTACAATAATTATTTGTTTAAATTCAAATTATGAAATAAATAAATTTAAATTTTATACAAATAATTTTTTTTATTTTTTTATGATTGCTTTGACAAAAAAATAAGGTTACGAATATGTATATTTAATTTTCTAACTGTTAATTTTTAAATCATTTTTAAGTATTGGACATCTCATTATTCTAGGATAAATTATTAGGATTAATCATTAATTGAGATATATATATATATATTTCTGTGATAAAATACAGGCAGATATGAGATTATATTTAACAAATTTTGATTTTTGTTGATTTAGATAATTTTTACCAAAAAATGTTTTATATTTTTTAAATAATATTATCGTGGATACATGAATTTATTTAAAAATCTGTAGATACAATGCTTCCACATAAATGACAGCACGCGTCAAATAACTACACATAACTTGTACCGTGTTCGCGACCGCCTTTATTTTCCGATCAATCTCTTCACATAAGTTTTGCTATTAAAGTTTCGTTTGCTAATTAACTTTCAAAATGGTGTCTGTTTTAAATACCGGCCACGAGGATATGATTCTCGATGCGGAAATGAATTATTACGGTTTAAGGTTAGTCACTTGCTGAGCGACAACACGATGAAGATATTTGGCTTGAAAAATTTGTAAAGGGAGCTCACTATCACAAAATAGTTATTATGTATTATTGTATCTATAAAGGTAATTTACGTCTCTGAAGGGGGCTAAAAAATGCTCCGAAAAATGTAAGCGCGTTATTGTAATAAAAAGTTTTGTGTTATATCTGTATATTATCTGTGCAACGACTACCGTGCCGGACTCCTATAGTCCTGTCATCTCCAAATTTTTTTTGAATAATAAGGGATCCTTGATTTATGTTTTGCAATAATTTTGATTTGTAATGAAGTTTTAAAAAATGATGGCATATTTATATTTTGGTTTAGAAAGAATTAGGGAGATTATTGTTTAATGTGCTAAACAAAATAATTATATAATATAAAATATAATAAACATTAATATTTTATAATAAAAGTAAGAATATTTAATATATATTATGTAGATAAAAATATAAACCTTTTTTGAAAATAAAAGTATTTTCTAGATCTACACATAAATTATGTTCATTATTATCATATATTAAATAAATGATTATAAAAAAAATATAAAATAACAGAAAATAAAAAAATGATAGAAAATTCACAAAATAAAACTGTATATAACTTTATTGATAAAACGATCTTTACATATAATAATTACTAAATATTATATAATTATATTATAATATACTATGTAAATGCCCTTTTATGTAACCATCACCAAATGTATAATATATGCTGTTATATTGATATACGTATATAAAATATATATAATGTCATGAAACAGTTTTTAACCCCAAGGGTGATGAACAGGTTTCTGTAAGCTCGCATGCTGGACTGCAGCTGCTATTGCATTTTCTTTCGCAGCTATTATATCTTTTTCCTATTTAGATTAAACAATGCACATAAACATATTAAGAATAAATTGACGTCAGTAGCTTATAACAATTAATATAACAAAAATGATAACAATTTTTAAGTAAGAACTTCATGTGATAATTAATATTATTAACAATATTCAGAAAAAATTGTTTTATTTTATAGAGAAATATAATAAAAAATTTTGATAATACTACCTTAGCTTCCTGCTCGCTCTGATTAATTTGCTTATCAACATCCTGCTTTCGCAATTCTGCGGCGGTGTTAGCTGCGTTTCTTTGGATTGCTGCAGCTGCGGCGGCTTCTCTTGCCGCTGCTACTCTCTGTGCAGCTGCCACAGTATCCTTTAGGGTTGCTAATCTCTGTTGTAATGCTACGAGCTGTCGGGCGCTAGCTTTAGCTTCGGTCTCAGCATGTTGCGAAATTTCATGCGATCTGCATAAAGTGGAAATGTTATAAGTGCACAGCGTAAAAGAGATAGCCAGTGAATGTCTGCAGTAGAACATTAGATGTAATGACGAAAAACCAGAGTGAATTAATTATTTGTATACCTCGCGGCAGCTTCCCTTGCCGCTGCTTCCTTTGCCAATGCAATTTTCTGCTGAATCAGCGCGGCTTGCTTCGCTTCCGCAACTTTATGCTGAGCTACGGCAACGTTATTGTTTGCTTCCTTTGCTTGTTGAATCGCTTTTAAAACTTCGGGTGGGTATGCGATGCTGGGCGTACCGGGCACCGGATCCTTCAACGCCTGTTATGTAAATTGATAACGAATATATTCCACAAATTTTATATAATTTTTTACGTATGATGTAAACCACAGACTTCTATATAATTTCTGTATGTATAAACCACAGACTTCTATAGAAGTCTGTGTGTAGTACGCGCGATGTAACACGAAGTGCGTAAAATAAATGTGCGTACCTGAAGTGCCACGTCGTGCGTAGCTTGAACTTCGACTTGTGCGAGCGCTACGTCCGGAGCGATCGGTGGGTTCCAGGCCGAAGTCGCAAAATTCGAAGCCCACGAAGGAGTGAAGGCTGGCACGAACCCAAAGAAATCAGGCGATCCGAAAAATGCCACTCCGCGTTTGTTCTTCTTTGATTCCGATTTCAGCTCCACCACTGTCGCAATAGCGGACAGAAGGACGATCTGCAAATCAATACTTAATTATTCTTATCGATAAAAATATAAGTTAGAAAAGGATTGTTCACTGTTTTTGTCTTAGATTCTGTGAAGTTTTAGAATTCTTTTCAATATTTGCATAATATAATAGAATTAAAGAACAGTTTTGCTAAAGTATCCAGAAATGTAGCTAAGTAAATCTGAATATAATTTTTTGTTGGACCATCAAAATAATTATGTAGGACATTAAAATTAGTTGCTAGTCAAAATTTTGCATTGCTTGAAATTTCTACGTAATGATTTTGATAATCAAATAAATTTATTTTCAGATCTCTATCTAACTAATTTTATTTTAATAAAATTATTCTTTTCATGTGTTAATTTTGAAAATATAAATTTTTTATTTGTTACGATGTAAGATATAAAAAATCTTATTCATAGAATTTGTAGATTTGATAAAATATAGATAAAAATGTGCTTGAGTTTTAGTTACCGTTACGATGATCTTCATCTTGCAAGAAATATTGTTGATGATACTGAATTCTCCACTGGTGGGCCTCCGGTATATATACAACTCGTGATATGAGGAAGAATGCTATAGCGCCTCCGGGATAATCATAGAATTAATTAAAACTATTAAAGGTGTCCGTAAAAGTCCATGTATCACAAACAGAATTATAGGCCTTTATTGTTTAATGACGATTTTCTGGAAGGCGTATGCTATACAATCACTGCACACGAATCCACTTATGTCTTAGAAATCGATGGACAAAGATCATATCTCGTCCTCGAACTCAGGAAGTAGTTAACTAGTTGTGAGTACGTACCAAGTACTTCCGCTTTAACGTAGACAAGTAAATTTAATAGATATTGAGAGACATTCGATCTTTTGATGAGGGGATGTTGTTTATACGTGTGTATTGTTTTGTATGGTTATATATGTTATATACAGTTCTATATAAAATAGTTATGAAATAAAGTATAAATAAAATCGATGTAATGAAAATTAAGAAAATTAATTATTAATTCTTTAATGAAATAATTATAATTAAATATCAATTTTATAGATATTAATATAAATAATCTAATAATAATATTATATTCATGGAATAAGTACAATCAAGTTAAAACAAAAACATGTTGCACTTGAATGATGTAATTATAATATGGAATAGTAAAATGAAAAAAATTAATCACTTGTATAATAAAATATAAAGAAATTAACAATTTGATATAATATCCACACACACATATCATATTATAAAATATACGATACAATATGATTAAATTTATATTTTTAGTTTTTATTAAATTTGTACATACATTAAACAAATTATACTTTTAGCATTGTTTGTTTGATATACGAAATTTGATATACGAATTTTTTTCTTTATAAAGTTATTATCTCATTTTTCTGAAATAAATTTGTAATATATTTGTTAAAAACTAAAATATTTGCGACATAATTTTTATCAGATATTATAATAACTCTATATATTATAATAACAGTGTAAGTAATAAGAAAACAAAAAACTTAACAAATAATATATGAAATCTATTATGTGTTATTTTATAATTACATAATAGATAATAAAATTAGTATGTAACAATAACGTAAACGTGCATAATTCTTACTTTCTCTTAAGAAAGCTGTAGGGGAAAATTCAGATTTTCGTACACATAATGTCGATACAAAATTTTACAAGGGAATTTGATTTGAGAATACATGAATGCACACGAAATATGTTTCTTAACTTAATATTTACTTAATTCAAATTCCCGTCAGATCACGGAAAATTTCTGCATTTGTGGGAGAACGCACTCGGCTGCTTAATATACTTGGTTCATAAAAAGAAACTCCATCGCCAGAATCTGACAATTGTTTCACGTTCGATCTAGGAACCGTTTTCTTAGATGAGTTTTTCTTTAATTTTCGGTCATTCACGGAAGAATTCGTGTACGGATCTTTGTCTTCAGAGCTGTGTTCACTTTCAGTCTTGGGATTCTTGAATTTGTAATACTTAGCAGCATGAAGATAATCATTTTTCTTCGGTGATTTCTTAGTGAATGAGAACTTCTCAGTTTTTGCGTGTTTAGAATATTTTTCAATCTTGGGTTGTTTGTATCCAAAAACCTCCTCGTAGATCACTTTGGGCGATGTTTTAGTGGATATGTCAGAACCATAAGCGGTGCTGTCTCTATAATCCGTCTTTGGTACCTTACGATTTTTTCGGGAATTACGGGATTCTTGACTCTTCGACTCTTTGGATTGTTCTTGCTTTACGCGAGATTTATTTCTTTGTTGCCGTTTAGAAGAACTCGAATCAATATAACTGTCTATTTCTGGTACTTCTTTCACGTGCACATATTCTGTAATTAAAAATATTAATTTAATATTTTCATTATTGATTTATTACTTCAATTAATAAAAATATAATTTTATGTAAAAATCTCTATAGGTCAAAAATAACTTATTTTCTGTATACTTTGTATAATATCATATTATTTTAAAGTTCTTTTCAAAGATAAAGTTACTAAACGAAATTGTTTAACAATATACAATACATAACGCTTGAAAAATTTTAGATAAAACTAACATTTATTAATTTGGATAAAATTATAAATTCTAGACGGTATATGTGCATACAATTTGTCAGTTTTTACATACCTTCTTTCGGTAGCTCTTCTTTATAAGATTCTTCGAATTCTTGCTCAAAGTCTTTCTGGTAGTACTTGGATCGTCTTGGAGGTTGCACTTCGGAAGAATCTTCATTGGTTTCCTTGCGTTTCTCCTGTTTACGGCTTTCTTCTTCCTCCTCCTCTTCCTCATCCTTCTCTTCGAACGAGTCATGTGATGGTTTTTCAGTGTATTCACTACGATATTCTGATGGTGAATCTTCTTCTTCTTCTTCTTTTTCTTCGTCGTCGTCTGATGAATAATTCTTATAGCTGGAAAATGGTTTATCCTCAAAATCATCGTCATCAGAGTACGTTCTATGTTTTCCAAATTTCTTGTCGTACTCTTTGAAAGGGTAAGACGTTGAAGGCTTGAAGTCACTTTCCGTTGGTGACGCTTTGAAATGTTGACGTTCAACATCGTCCTCTTCAGAACTGCCATCGTACTCCTTATCTGAATTTTGGTATCCTAGAAATAATATTTCTAGTATAAATATTTTAAGTTTGTTTTATTATTTCAAATTAGAATTTAATAAAAACATTAGTTTATTATCAAAATATCTGTAGTATATTGCTATAAGTAATTTTTAATATTCATTTTATAATTTTAGAATTAAAAATCTGTCACTTTTTAATATATCACATAAATTAATATTTTAACTAAGTTTTTTTACTTTGAATATACAAATTAGAAGATAATACACACTTTCATCATCTCTAGTTTCGTCGTCGTCATCATCAGGTTGAGGTGTATGTGGCTCTGGATTTTTCGTATTGATAATCTCTGCGTCATTCAGAATGCCTTGCGTTCCGACAGGAGGATGAGCGGTATTTTGTCGCACTTTAACAGTCTGTACATTGTCATTATGCTCCTTGTCAAAGTGCAATTGTGGTTGATTATAAAGGGATTCGTAATTGCCTTGCACTTTAGGAACATTATTCATAATAGGGTAAGCTTCTATACTGGCGCCTTTGTACTGCGGAAATTGCGGGCTACCATTGGTAGTCTGAATTGGTACAACTTGACCCTGGAAACTCGATAGAGGCGATGAAAATGGCGAAATGTTACTTGATTGAAGTGCTAAGTTTAATTTTGGCCCGGCTGCAAATCCCACATCCGATTCAATCGGATAGTTTGAGCTTAGTAAAAATGGTTGACTTTCGAAAGTGGGCAAAACTTCCGAAAGATCTACATTGCTCTGAAGTCGAATGATTGGGAGTGAGATCTTTTTGCCGTTCATGTCTACAGTGGCTTCATCTTTTTGCCTAGGGCTTTGAGTTATTTTATCCGATGACGGAGTAATGCTTGACGCGGTTGGAATGCTCGGTGCGTATACATGCGCGTAATCGGTAATTTTTGGCAATGGATAATTCATTTTATACACTGGCGCCTGAACAGTAGGAGAAGAAACGCCTTGGGGGATAAGCTTGCCAATATTGGCGAGCGGGGAATATTCGAAATCGGAAAAGCTGGATAGTTCAATTGGTTTCTCCTGATAGAACGCATTGTAACTAGGCGAATAAATGCCCTGCAGTTTTTGATGTGACTGCGACACGATCGATTTGGACGCGTCTAATGGTTTCTCCTCGATGCTCCTTGTAGCTTTATAAACATCGGGATTATTCAACATACTAAAATATGGAGTCAACAAATTGCTCCGATGAGATTCTGTCTGGTGGATGGATGGAGCAACGTAGGAAAGCGGCTGCTTTGGCACGCTGCCATATGCATGGGAACCAGGTCCATGATTCGTTCCGGTATAAGGTACTCTCTGAATTACTGATGCCTTGACGTTTCCATAATGAGGCGATAATCTCAAGTTAATATCCTGAGGCGACGGAATTCTTGGTGTAGTTTGAGTACCTCTTGATTGCTCCTGATTATTAGGGATATTGTGAGTGGGATCTATGCGTTTCGATTTAGTAGACGTTGCTGACGTGACGGAAGCCCCAGTCGAAGTCACGATCTTTGTGGTGGAACATATCGCAGACGTAAAGAGAATGACGTTTACGATCTGGAACGTATTCAGCGCACACGCGCTTTAAATATCGAATTATATTTAATATGAAAAAGTGTTAATAAAAATGAAAATATAATGTTGCACAATAATTTATTTGATTAATTTACGAAATTTAAATTTAAATTGATGTTCGTGTAAATATATAATATAAGTGTAATGAAAACGGTTGAAAAACATGAAAAAAAAACGATGTTTTTCATATTTTGCTAAAGTATCTAAAAATTTAACTAGATACAGATCTGAAAATAATTTTGTTGGCTCATCAAAATAATTAATATAAAATGATAGCTCAAAAGTTGTTAAAATGCCAAAATTTTTTACAACATTGCTCATTATATTTGAGCGTTCTACATAATTATTTAAATCCAAAATTATTTTTTCAAATCTGTATCTTATATCTAAATGTTTAGATAATTCAGGAAAATTATCCTTTTTAAATAAATGTAGGAAAAATAGCACCGAAACTTTCTTCAATGTTTTTGATCTAATCATAAATCAAAAATATTACTGACACTATTAATACACAATTATCACAAATATATGATAAATGTCGATTTCATCGCACAACGTATCCATGAAATTAAATAAATCACTTTTGGAAATAAATCACTATTATTACAATATTACGATACACATAAACGATCGACGTACGGTAAACGTTATTTAAAATAATTGGGAAACTGAAAAAAGCACGTACCAACATGATACTCGTACAGTTCGGTGCGAGTAGAAACCAAAGTTCGATGTTAACTGGTTGCGAACGACATTCTCTCATCTTTTATATTCGGCATTTACTGATGCGAGACAACAGAATGGGTTGGACTTTTCTAAACTTTGTAAAAAGCGTATCGAGAAAAACCGAGTCAAATTACCTCGCTTCTCCCTGAAGCCATGATCGTAACTATTGATCTAGCTTTTTATTAACTTATACTTCTCTCTCTTTGTGATTTGTTATATTTATACTATCATGTAAATTGTATTATAATACAACCAGAAATTAGACGAACGATTCTTTATACTAAATCTGCGGATGTGGTTAAATTCGATTTCCTATTTGATATTGTTTAATAAAACTTGAATTAGTTAATAACATATAACAAGAAATATTTATAATATAAGATATTTACTACATAGATTTAAATGGAAATGGAATAATAATATAAAATTGCTCTATAATTATACAGATATACATATTTCTAATGTTCATTGAATATCCTGTAGAGATAATAATAACTGTATCATTTATCAGAATAATTATTTCTTTTATTGGCCGTTATTCTGAGAAAACTTGCGCGAGCATAACTAGTATAATAGTTTTGTGAATTAACATAGATCCCAAATTAATTTGTGCCTAATTCTCAGGATTTTCGAGAAAGTGGCTGTTGCACAATAAAAATGCTCCATGGATTTATGTGTATAGGCTCCATTGAGTAAATCTTAAAGCTAATGATTGTTACATACCGTGAGGTGAACGTCTCTTCCTTCTGGTTTTATGGTTGAATTATTGCCAATCAAGTGGAAAGAATATAGTTGTATATATATTTTCACTATATTGCTAATTTATATTTTCTAAATAATTAATTTTTATATGATGATATGATTTTAATATTTGTTCTCTTTCTAAATGCAGTTACTAATTTCTGATTTCTAAGTTGTCGGTCATCTTGTTAATTAATTATTTTAAAATATTGGGAAAAATTATAATTATATCTCTATACTTATTATACTTTGTAGTTATAAATATAATGTAATATTTTTTTAAAAGTAAAAAAATATTACATTATATTATATAACGTAATATTTTTTTAAAAATAAAAAAATATTTCTAGCAATTTTTAATATTTTATAACATAAAGCTTACAAATTATTGTTTTAAATTAGAACAACTACTTATTGAAATTATAATAATGAAATTATAATAATTATAAAAATTATAAAAATTTACGATTATTTTCTTTTAAAAGAGACTTTTAAAAGACATTTTTTTTATTATTTAACATTCTATGTAGAATAGATAGTGTTCAAGAACTTAAACCTTAAATGATGATAACACAAATATTGTATATGATGGAAATAATATATTCATAAAAAATAAATTAATAATTTATTTACTTCACAAAAATACTGAACGTATTTTTAACCGATCGTTCTTTTTTTAATTTTATTGTTATAAATAATTATAAAAATATAATAATGTCATAAATTATAAAGAAATATTTTCAGTTTTTAAGAAGAACAAAATCTTTATCTTTCTAAAGGATAAAACATTTTCATTAGTTTAGTTTTATAATCAAGATTAAAATCCTGATACGACTTTGTCACGAAAAATTCGAAAAAAAACTGCTATAAATATTAATGCAACCATGAAAAAAACATTTTGCCTTTAGAATGTTGATGTAAAAATTTGATATTCATTGTATTTTTATTGAAAACTACAATTTTTAAAATAGTTTTTGTAATTTTAAAATTTAAATATTGGAGTTGAGTACATTCATTATTAGAAGTATGTTTTATCTTAAAGAACATTTTAATAATTTATGACAAATATTATTATAATTATTAACGTGTTTATTACGATTATTCAAATCATCAAAGGTGAAAGATATAAATAAATAACAAAGATTAAATAAATAACAGAAAACAATGTGTTTAAGTTAATTAGAGTATAATTATATATGTTTAGTAAAATAAAACGTTATTATAATACTTACCTTTTATAAAATTCTTTGCATTTTTCGTTGGTATAGAAAAAGTGTTTAGTTTTTATCGCGTATTTAGTCGATCACGTCCTTGAATAGATGAAAGAGAAAAGAGAAAGTCGATAAGAAGAGGAAATAAATATAAGTTTAACAGAATATAAAATACAGATACAAAGCCATACAAATTATAAGACGTATATATTTTTTGTTTGATTTAATATATATATATATATATATATATATATGTATATATACAGTATTTTTTTCTTACAATGTTGACTGAATTTCCTTTCCCCTCGATCCGAACATTTCGTGCGAGCGCATACGATACTAACGATTAATTTTTCATTTTCCGTATAAAACTTACTTATTGTAATTAAACACTTAGTGCAAACAGCACAATGGCTCGATCTGGCCTTATGCTGCATTTGATAATGCGCAAAGCGGACGAGAAGTCGTCCATTATCGCAAACAGGAGGGTAAACGTACGTACTATTTAATTAATTAGAGTCCTTTCACGAGCAGATTTACACTGGAAAAAGAGTCTGATTTCATCAATTGGAATTCTGATTGAAAATGGACAAATCAAAATTTTTTATTTGAATTTATAGTTGTGTGTGAGATAATCAAAATTCTGATTAATGTAATTAGAATTTTCTGATACGTCCATTTTTAATCAAAAATTTTTCTCAGTGTATTTTTCTCAGATTTTATGCGCAAATCCAGCGAACGCATCGCGTGATTGACGCCTTGCTTTTGATTACAAATTTACGCGGTATCGTTCGCCGAATAGACATTCTCGTTAGCAACCGAAGTAGGCTGCGAAACGATATCGGACTTGTCTATATAATCCCTGAAAGTATTAGCGTAGAACTGTTGCTGTAACCGACGCCTGTCTCTCTCGAAGAATTGTCTTAATTGATTCTTGTTGCGAAAATAGTTCTGCGCGCCTCTATTTGGCAACTGTTTGTTCTTCATTAACATACCAAGAAGATTGTGCATTCTAGGGTGATTGATATCATATTCTGTATTACTTTTCATTTCCCTTAAGATTTTACTAAGGCTTTCCGGTGTCGGCGTGGTGAACGTTGAATAAGAATCAAGAAACGACCGATGCCTAGAGTCGTAGTCGAAGTTTTCAGTATCGAAATCTTTAGGCGGCTTACGTGCGTAAGCATGCGGTCTATCCAGATACATTTCTATATTACTAGCAGATGTTTCTAGTCCATTGGAGCCTTTATTTGATCTCCATTTCCTTGGGCCATTCTTAAATCTCGATCCAGGTCGTTTTTTCTTCATCTGCTTATCGTGGAAGGGAACTTTTGAACGAAATGCATCCGGTCTGGGTGGCGTAAGAAATTCCAAATAGCTATCGTCATTAAAATCATAGTTGGAACTCGCAGCAAAGTTTGTATCTTCCAATTTAGGTTTACGACCAGGTTTAACGGCGCTGTGATAAATATGTATTGGTCCCGCGGGTCGCGTCTTTAGCAAATGTTCCAAAGTCTCCAATAGAGGATCCAATTTTTTTTTACCGCCTGAAGAGTTGGGTACGTCACTTGTGTGTATGTTGTTCTCGCTCTGATGTGCTTCAAGAATGTCTCTATACTTGGACTCCGTTAAGGAAGATTTTAACTTTTGCAATTCATGTTTTAGTTTGGCTAAATCACTCGCTTCGGAATTATTCTGGACCGGAATGTTTGCCGGTCTTCTATCGTTGTTCCACTTCTGCGAGTTGTACATCGTCTTCAAGGATTCTTTGAACATTTCCTCAGCATAATTCTGCAAGTCCGACGTAAGCTTCGGTTTCATGATCAGTTCGGTTTGCCCTGAATGCGGTTTAAAAAAGTTCCCGCCGGGCACGGCGGGCACCAGATTTAAACCTGGCTGAAGGGGTTCGTTTGTTGACAACTTATTGTTAAGAGCATTTTGGTTTTTGATAATGTCAACGTTAGGGACGAAATTGATGGGATTAAATACTGATTCCTGAGACTGCATAAGTTTGAGATCCACTTGCTTAGGTTTGGCTCCAGACTCTGTCAGAGAGTTCATGTAATTGTGCAAAATGGTTTGTGGAGTAGCTGAGGCGATTGTACTGAAAATTGGGATGGGTGTCGTCAAAACAGTAGCCGGATAATGCATCGCTTGATAGGCATTCACATTGAGAGGACTGGGTTTAATGTTTGGATTCACGATTTCTACGGTCTTCGCACCTACATTCGGAAGATGAGCGTTTGCCGCTGCTGCTCCCAGCATATTTAAATTATTAATTGAGTGACTAGTCGTGCTGTCAGCGGCCTGCAACACAATGCCGGACAGTCTACCACCCTTCACTAGTTGCTTATTCATTTGAGCTTGCAGTTCCTGTAAATTCTGTTGAATCGGAATTAGCTGCGTATTCTGACTCTGAACATAATACGAGTTAACATTAGCCGCCTGCTTTTGTCCATTCTGGCCGACGGCTAGACTCGCGGTAGCGAGAAAGTTCCCTCCGGAAGTAGGATATACGTTCTTCTTGCTCTGCATTTCCAAGTTGGCTCTACTTTCTGGCATCGTCGTTTGGCTGGACAGCAGAGTGGGCATTGCCGACGCACTCTGTACCTGTAAATTACCATGATTTATCAAATTCTGACCTTGCAGTCCGTGGGAATTCACCTGGATTTGAGTTCCCTGCAGTGGTGTCTGTAGAAAACTTGGGTACGTCTGAATAGTCGGCTGCGGCAACACGGTGAAGGTCGTTTGTGGTGTTACATTGCTCTGCATACCGTGAACATTCAAGCTCTGCAGCGCCGGGGTCAAGCTCGGCGTGAGGGCAAATACAGGTGTCATAGTGCTCGGAACGTAAGTCGCTCTCAGAGTATTTACGATCTTATTTGGACCGCTCGGATGTGAGAGCAGAACCGTCTGCACGGGATTTTGAAAAGTGTTCTGGCCAACGATGATATCGGGTATTGGCGTGGATACCAGGTTCTTCGATACAGCCAAATTCTGAGTAAGGACTGGCTGAGGCGTACTCAAGAGAGACGTTGTCGTGCTGAATGCACCAATTGGCGCGACGGTAGCGAGATTCTGCAACATAGCATTAGACATGTCGAAACCCTGGCTACCACCTAACGCAGTTGCGTGATCGAAGTTTCCTACGGGCACGAGATTAACAATGTATTTCGGTTTCTCCAGCTGATTCAACTCTATTCCGTTGGACTGAGAGACTTCGAGATTCGGAGATATTTGACTCCACGTGTTGGTATTCTTTGATCCATGAACTTTCTTCGTTTTTGCGCTGGTGACTCTGGAATCGTGTCGAATGTCTTCGATGCTCTCGTCATGGTGATTCGTGCTGGGATCATTGAGCCATGGATTCGCCTTCGTTCTGTGCCGCTGCGATTTTAATTTTGCAGAGTTATACTTGCCCTCATCCGTGTTCTCATTCAATGTATCTCGATGCTCTTTGGAGAGTTGTTTTCTAACGGAATCAGGACGTTTCCGATTTTTTTGCGCTCTCAATCTCAGCCGTTCGATATAATCGGAGTAATCCGTGCTCTCATCTGAGATCTCTTCAGAGTCTTCCGTGCGTTGATAACTACGCTGCCTATTGTTATTGTTGTAAGTATCGTAAGTCTGTAAGTTAGAAAATTCTGAGTTTTTCAAAATTTTCTCATCATTATCAGACTCGTTGTCTTTCAGCTGTCTGCTGAATTTTATTTCCATTTTATGATTACTTGGCTCGGCGACGACAACCGGCTTCATGAATCTATGGTGTGTCCTCGACAATTTCGCGGCATCACCATAAGTTCCGCTATGCGCGAGTTCGTTAGCTTCATAATTCGTCCTTGATGAGGACGGGATCGCTTCTGCATTCTGCTTGGCCGCACTCAGTCCATTGTAGTTCGCAGTATTCTGCTGCTGATAATTATCAACAACTTTCTCCTGCCCGTAAAAAGTTTTCTTTGTATCTTGAGCGTTATTGTAATAGAATTGAGCATAGATATCCGCATCATTGTTTTGTTGCGACTGCCAATCGTAATTACGGGTGTGGTTCTCATATCTCTTTCCCCTCTCGCTGTTCGGACGCCTCGAAAATTTATCGAACTGACTGTCGGTTTCGGTGTTCGCTATGCTGTGCACGTTCTCGTAAAAATCTTGGTAATTAGCTACCGCAGGGGTGTCGTTGTTCACCTTCAGCAACTCGAACTCATTTAGCCTATCGTCCTGCAAATCGAAAGACCTGCGATTCGTCAGTGCTCCAGGTAAACTCAAGAAGATCCTTGCTTCGGAAGAGTATGCTAAGTCCTCTTCCAATTTTTTCACCCTTGAATCGAAACTGTCTTGAGCACTTACGGCTTTCGTCACGTTGCTTTCTTCAGATCTCTCCTGCTCGTAGTCATTGGTCTGTGACGAGTCGAGTTCGTACAAGACGGATGGCGAGACGGATCGTAATACAGGGACAAAGCCGTTAGAATTTTCATAGTGTACCGTTGACGACGATATGCTCGAGAGCTGTTCTTCAAGGTCCTTTGAGTCTTCATTCGGTTTTATAGCGTGTACTACGGTCTCCGAGGCAGTTGCAAGTTGGTCGAAGATCTCTTCATTCTTTAAGTCAGCATCCTCTGAACATCTTATTTGTGGCCAGCCAAGAAATAGCAATATCACCTACGAAAGTTGAGAAATGCTATTAAATTGTGTCTGTGCCAACTTTCAAATCGTTTGTCTAAATAATTAAATGATTAATAATAAATTTAGTAAATTTAAATGACAATATTATATCATTTTTATATCATTTGACATATAAAGTTAAATGTAAAATAAAACGTATAAAATAAAAATTAAAAGAATGTAAAAGAACTTGAGACGATACAACAAAAAATTTTATAAAAATATTATATGTTTTTATAAAACTGAATTAATTTATTAATTAAAAATTAAAATTTTATTGTAAGACGTAAATGCATGATAAAATTATAATATAATTAGCTGATAATAATATATAAATATAGTAGAGAGCGCTATATAGGTGATAATATAATTATTCTTCTTGGTAATAATATAATTAAACTGATAATAAACATAAAAAGAATCACAATTATTGTAGAAGTATGAGATCTGGAAGATACATTTTATATATGTTTTTAATTATAAGTCTTGCTAAAGAAGAAAGCAGATATGCATTGCAAAGTTTGGATAGCCGTTTCATGATAGTAAGCAGTGTTAATTGCCGTTTTGTCAAGGAGATGACCTAGAAAAGAAAAGCAGACTGGAAAAGTAAAATGCGTGTGCAGTAGAAATAAGGACTGGATGTGCAAGGAAGCAAATCTTTGTGGACTTTCTCACTGATTTATGGTCATTTGAGTTATTATTTGACAATGACTCCCATATTGGTGCCATCGTTAATGTAATAATTTTGAGCGATAAAAAAGAATTTCCAAAGCTCGAAGTGCACGTTGTATCACATAAATGATTTTTTTCCATAAGATGCAAAAATCCGAGCAGCTAACCATATAGCTTATCCGTTTAGAGAGTGTCGGTGAAAAGTAATTGTAGAGAAAACAGTGCCAATTTAAACTATTCTTTATGCCTATCGTTAAACAAGTCGGTCGAAGTTGTCGATCGAAATATAACGTCGTTAATATGCACATCTTTATTTAGAAATAATTTTGTATCTCTCAATTAGGTTTTATTAAAACATTTAAAAATAATATGTGTGCATTAATAACATTTTTAATGCAAATTTTACATTTTATTCTTTGCTATTATAATAAACAATATGTATATTAAAATAGAAACGTGCAACAAAAAAATAATTCTTCTAATAGTTTTTAATTTAATATAAACTTTAAATAACAATTTTTTATACAAATCATTTGGAAAAATATATTTAGTTTGCATATTTAATACGACACATTTTATAAAAAAATTTATATGACAGAATAATCAAAGAAGATACAATTTAAAACGTATATATTAATATAATGCAATAATGAAGTAAAAAATAATTTAATTATTTAAATGTAAAATACAATATATAAAATAAATATATAAAAGAATATATGTTGTATATATTATTTATATAGTGTCTTTTATAGCAATTTACTTTTTATAAATTTTGTAATATATGTAACTTTGTCATTAAAAATCTATAAAATATATGATACTGGTAATAAAAAAATTCCGAACAAAAAAATAAATTGCTTGAAGGAAAGAAATCAAGGATAGAAAAGAAAAAAGATAAAATATGTTTACATGCTCTTTTTCTCTATATATCACTTTTTCTATATGAGAGAGAGAGAGAGAGAGAGAGAGAGAGAGAGAAATACATTATATTAGATAAATATTTTCTTAGAAAAAGTTCTACATCACGTGTAAGGAAAAAAATCTGTCACTCAAATTAGAAACAGTAATGCGACATTGCATTTAATATTCCGTCTTATCAATTTATGTCACAGTTAATATATTTCGTTTCTATATCAAAAGTTTTTATTCACACCAAAAATCAAACGACAAATTTTGTTTTTTTATCGCACAAATGAACTTCACACTTTCACAAAGTACTCTTATCTAAGTACTTACATAATAAAAAATCATTTTTATTGAAATTATTTTTAAGATTCCTCCAGAAATGAAACATTAAATAAAAAGGAGATTCATGTGCCACACTGTACTATGCGTTCACATTGATAACGATCATTCGCTCCCGTATCCTCGCCTCGTAATAATCTCAAGAAACGCGCGTGGTGAACCTCCACGCGAGAACTGAGCCACATAGTAGATACGCGATTTTCTTTATACAGTCCGGCGACTAAGAGAAAAATATCGTTCTAAATATTATCCTGTATAGCACACAGCCGCAGAGAATACTTTCATTCGCGACACGCGAGTGCGCCTGGAGAAATATTGTCCGGCGTAGCATCGTAGTTGTCATCCCATCACGTAGAATTCTAGCAACAATGATAGCAATTATATGGAAATGGAGAGAGGGCATACTCACGGTATACGAAAAATGATCTCAATTGAAATAAAAATCGTTTTATGTCAAGTTCCGAGATATTGATCGCGGAATGTTATGAAAAGAACAGGCGATCGCTATTTTTCTATAAATGCATTGCAAAATATTTATTTATAACCAACAGGATGGCATCAATTATAAAATAAATAAGTAGGAGAGATTTGAAGAAATTCTAGGTCTCTCTGTAGAATATTATTATTTTATCTATTGGAAACCGCATTGGGAACATCAATCCGAATGCACATCACTTTCGGCGCTTTACAATTTCCTGCGGTTCTTGTTGTCTCTGATCGACGGGATCGGATCCTAGGTATCTCTCGCCAGTACTTTTTCCGCCGTAATTTTACGCGCTCTAGAACACACGCGTTATACCTGATGAGTCTACTCCTCCCGATGCGCGCCGTGGAAACGAAGGTGCACGTCCGTGTGTAATGAACACGAGCCGATCTCCTGCCTGTATGCGGAGTCTTTCGCGCTCGTGCTCGAACGTTCAGCAGTTTAATGCATCGCGCCTAATTGCCGTGCCGTAATTGCCGTAGATGCAACGCAGATATATCGTCGGAACCTGTCTGTTGTGAAAACGTAGAATTAACAATGAAGCTGGAGCAGGCTTAAGTTCTTTTTTTACGCGCCTGCCAGATAATTAACGTTAATTGAGGTTCAACGGCATCGGTCAACATTGATGCGTATCTTCACGCGCCGGTATCTTTTTATTAATAATTTTGAATTATTATATTATTATTATATTTCTCTCGGATGGCACCGGCGTTTATGCATTGTTCATATCGAGTAAACGCATAATAGCGCTTGATTGCCGCTTAATGTGTGTAGATTAATAGCTATTCTAAAACGAAAACTTTTACTTTACTTATGCGTATAACGCACTTATACGGTCTTTGCAATAAGTATAAAAATTGACGTAAATGTTCTATGTCTAATAAAATAAACAAATTTTAATATTTTGTTATCCTTTGATTCTTATTATCATTTTCTTTTCCAAGAAAATACAATAAATTGAAGGTGCTTTGTACTTATAATCAAAGCTGTATGTAATTAGTGGGAAAAGTTAATAAATACTCTTCTAATGTATGTTTACTAGCTTTTTCCAGTAATCAAACGATACGTTGCTCATATAATGTAATATACAGGATATCTTAGAATTGCTTTTTAATCATTGCTTCTATGGTCTATGGAATATAGGAAAAATAAATAGACATAAATATTTATATATATATATATATATATATGAATATAGGAAAAGTGAAAGAAAGATTCTTTTTGGGAGGGAGGGGGGGGGGGATGTTCAAGGAACAACTTTCACAACTACTTAATTTTTAGCATTGCTCATCTTAGCTAAGATAAATAAAATAAAATTTTATTGAAGCAGAATTTATTTATGCAGGATTTATTAAAGAATAATCTTGTCATGTCTATCCATTGCAATTCTTGATTTTAATGGTCAATTGGTCGACAATTGAACAATACCTTAATTAAAATTGATTTAATTTATGTCAAAAATTTATTGTATTAAATATTGGTTAATTCTTGAAAATATGTTTCATTTTTTTTGTGGACTACTATTTAACTTTACAATGTAACAATGAAAACATTCAAGTCGTTTCCAAAATTTTAAGTGAGGAAAAAATCAAAGAATATTATGAAATCATGATCAAAAATGGATCAAAGTAGAAACTACATCCTAGAGGTTATTATAATTTATACAATAGATGATTTTTTTTTTTACCTACGATCACTATTATATAGCTTCCTACTTTCGATTGACTTTCACATGCAACTATATTTATTTTTAAGTGAATATATTATCATACATTTAAAAGAAAAAGATTTTTATTAGTGAAGTTTACCACAAAATTTTATAGAATTACTAATTTTATAGAACTACTAATTTTTATAGGGAATAAACAAAATGTGACTGCCAAAAATCTTGATGAAAAGTACAAAATAAAAAAGTTTATGTCTTTTAGAAATAATTGATTTACATAGAAATTTCAGGCAAAAATAATATAAATCTAATTTATATACAAATTTGTTTCTTATTTGTTTATTTTATTAGCTTATAATAATGCAGTATACAAGTTGTGATTATCTTAAATCATGTACAAGGACTATGATTTATATATATAAGGTACCTTTTCGAAGTGTGGAAGTTTGACTGATTTTTCGTAGGTGCGTTCTCAAAGCAAAAGTTATATGCTTTGCTTACTACCGCTTTCCCGAGAACGGCAAAAAAATTTATTAATACTAAACTTTGCATGTTCTCAGCAAATCAGTAGCGCAGGTACGTTTGTATGTATTATATTATAATACATTGCACAATCCCACATAAATACTATCGTATCACTAACGCCCGATTATTATTATTATCTCGCTTAAATCGGTTCATGGCACAAAAATTTCATTCTCTGTGAAGTGCCAAATAATGTACATTGTAATTATTTAATGCTTAAAAATAGAGAATATGCAAAGGAAAAAAAAATTGTTTTTCATATGAAAACTTTCGTATTCCGGATTTTACATTGTCGCTAGTTAATGTCACATTAATCAATCATTTTAGCTTAACTTTGGTGTTCTATTGTATTATCGGTTATTTTTCTTACGATATATAACATTTTATATTATCGCAATATTCTTTAAACTTAAATGAAAATGTGCGTTTTATCTTACAAGTTTTCGTTTTTATGAATTTATATCAAAATTTTTAATCCCCGAATATTTTTTATTCCTTTAATAACATACCTTGAAATAGATATTTCGATCTGACAATAAATATATTTTATATTTTATCAGAATGTATTTTGAAAAACCGAATTTATAGAACACAAAAGTCAAGGGATATATCCACTGTCTATTGTTTACAAGCGATATCGTTCTAAAGTCTATGATTTGCGAGTCTTGTATCAATTGGATCTTCTATGATCTGCACACTTTTCACTTTCGGTCGGGCCGCCGTACGCTCGCCATATTTTCCATTTAAAGGATTTTTTTCGCCATCCAGATTGCTCGTTTCGTAACTCGACTTGCCGAAGTAGGATTCTGTAGGATTGCCGATCAAGTCCTGATCATTTAATGTCAATCGTGCTAGTTCGCGCAGAGGACTGGTGGAGAACGAACTTTGATCCTTCGGAGATTGATCGTCACCGAGATCGTAATTGGACTGTTGTGCTAATTCTTCAATACTTTTGGCATATTGAACGAGATATTGTTGCAACAAGGCTTTCAAGTTCATGTTTGGCGTTGCCTTGCGTTGTATAGGTGGCACACCATCCACTCTTAGAATAATTACGGGTATCAACGAGCTTCCGGCTTGCACGAAGGTCGGCTGCACATTGAGAATAGATGCAGGATTCTTGATATACTGCGA